GCATCTCACTCCTTCACCACGATCCTTTAATAGTGAACAACGCAGCCCACATCTTCACCACGATCCTTTAATAGTGCACAACGCATCTCACTCCTTCACCACGATCCTTTAATAGTGACAACGCAGCCCACATCTTCACCACGATCCTTTAATAGTGCACAACGCAGCCCACATCTTCACCACGATCCTTTAATAGTGAACAACGCATCCCACTCCTTCACCACGATCCTTAATAATTATGAGGAAAGTATTCATTTGCTTGCCTCCAGACCATATTCAACCAATACTTTTAAATGAAATTAAACAGGTTTCAAGACACAACATTCGTAATAACCATCAATATTCAGTCCAGCACTGACCATCATCAGAAAGTTGTACACTATCAAAGTTTTCGGGATTATAAAAGGTACACTGTATAGATATATTATACGGTGTTTGTTCACCCGCAGTTACAGTGAATGCTGTAAAGTCAGTGCTGTTTTCTTGCAAAGATAATTTCGGGTCATCTGTTTTAACCAGTCGCACCATTATACAATAGTTGTTGTCTGTCTGTTTGTCAGTAGACACTAAAATGACGTCATATAAGGGACGCTTAACGTTGCAACTTGTATTGTCTTGACGTCAGCAAAACGTGCCCATGCTATGAATCACGAGAACAATTATGCTACAACACAGCATGACATATGAACTTCAAAAGCAAGAAATGAAAATATTTGTTAGTCTTAATTTTGGTTATATTTAATCTTGAAACAGAACATTTTCGGGGACCCTGCAGAAGTACATCTACTTATATTCTTTTCTACATCAGGTTCATTTAACTACACAAAGTGCTATCTGTGCTGCGCCTAACACAAGTATCGAAACCCCGTTTTTAGTGGTGTGAGCCCCAGACTTATGGACATTTATGAAGGACAGAGTAAGTGATCAGCTTCAAACCAACATATTAGTATGGTTGAATTCAGCTTTGTGCGCATACACACATATATGTATACTTCAAATCAACGATGATGTATATGACTTTGGTTGGACAATTATTTGGCATGTACAAATGTGCAATTGATTAAAAGGGTAGTGGAAATAAATAAGTTTTTTTATTCGTAATTTGCTAAAAATTGAAAGTTTTACTAACATTGATATTAAGTAACTAAGCCGCAAGCCCTTGTGGAACTTTCACGAGGTTCGTCGAAATTACAATAAATGTTCTTTAGTGTAACAATTCTTAATCAATAATATCAGAAAAGAAATACTTGTACTTAGAAGAATACTTAACCTAGCAGTATAGAAATGTGTAACTTGTTTTGAAGAAAAAGCATTATTTTTTATTTACCTTTCAAAGTTAACTATATGTCAGAGTTGAATCACTTTCTTCATGTGCTACCATCTATCGGTATCAAAACACACTTGGGGACTACTGTAGTTTCTTTTCTTTATGTAAAAAGTGAATTGCTATTGAGTCGTAGATCTTAAAAATATAATTCTTAACATAAACAAAAATCCAACAAATAATTAGATTTAATATAAATATTTAATAGTAATAAAAGTATAACGATTAAAATATACTACAAATTAAATAAACAAACACTCTTTCATTGAGATCCGGTGGCGCAATGGTAGCGCGTCTGACTCCAGATCAGAAGGCTGCGTGTTCGAGTCACGTCCGGGTCAATTTAATTAACACTTTTTAACATATATTTCTAAAATTGAGGTATGATTCATTTTCTTAATACATGTTGTTACGTTAAGTTCCAGCTTTTTTCCCCCATGTTAATCGTTTTATAGGCACTGCGTGCAGAGCAGTCATTTCACTAACGCCAGTTTTCACAGTTGAACAACGCAGAAGCTAAAAAACATGAAGCCCAATCTTTCACTCGACTCAACACTGTCAAGAGCAAAACATAACTTCATTTTCTAAGATCCATTAATACGGAACAAGTTTAGTTACTTTCACGTATCCTCTTCAGTATAACTTTGGTTGTAGTAAGAAAAGAAAACAGACTATTTTACAGCGGGAGTTTCAAGTTTCTCTTAAAACGATCTTCAGGGGTATTGAAGATTGACAGTTTTTGGATTAGCGAACTTTTCACCATTCTTTTGTCATTTCTAATTTTATGTATTATTTTGGTCGATTTCAGATCAAAAATCCTCATATGTTTAAAATTGTATTTGTTCAACTATTTTAAATGTTCTTCGAGTCTTTTTCCCGTTTCACCAACAACTTTTTTTAGACGATTAGGAGAATACTATATGGACACCTTGCTTTATCTAGAGGTGTAAACTTGTTCGAGGCCAATACATTATATGTACAGTATATAAATTTAAAATAATGTCTAGCAACACGTATTTTTTAAAAATACATATTTTAACTACAGTTCTGATATTGTGGTTTTAGGGAAATTACTGAAAACAAGTTCAACGCCGTTTAAAAACATCCCAACATGCAGGTTCATTCTGATGAGTAAGAAAACATACTATATTATCGTACGAACCAACATTTACTTTTATTACTTCATATCATTACATCGATCACTTTTATTATCATTATTACTTCTGGCTGACTACTCTGTAAATGGTTTATATGGTTGAGGTTTCGGTCATGAGGCCCGGAAATATCAGGTGCAAAATGGACCTCTTCCTCCTTACATGAGCTGTAAATGAATCTGAGTTGTTTGTTGAATTTCGGGAAAAGAATGCCGTCACGAATTTAGAAGTGATAGACTACAGAGAAAACAGCTAATCAAAAATACCCACCTCCAACTCTTAATTGAAGAGAGATTTAACAGCCATTCTTATAACGCATCCACAACCCCAAGGTGCGCAGCTCGACTTTCTTTGGTGGATAACAAGGCGAAAACGACCCGATCATTGTTGTATATGGGTTAAAATCAGATTAATTAAAAAAATACAATAAAGGCAACTTTTACAGTAAAGAAATTTCGAATATAATGATGACAACTGTTTACACCAAAGTATCGAATTACTTAATAAGTTTCTCACAACCATTAAAGTTGTATCAAACGCGGTACAAATTAATATTTTTACTATTTATTGTAGGATTTTGTTATTCGTGTATTTTCCATCGTCCCAACTCTCTTTACTGCACTTTTTACGACCGACACAGAGTGTAACCAATCAATTGAAACATTGCATCCCTAACAATTTTAATATATAAATGAGCCAATATTTATCACTCGGCAATAGTTTGAATTTAGTATCTTACTCGGATCACAAGTTAATGGTGATTACATGTACAAACAACTTTTATAAAGTATTTCAAATACTTTCAGTACGAATATGTAAACAAACGATTTGATCGGGTCCCCACCTGCTCATTCATTAAATTGTCAGGGACAACTGTGAAACATACCATCAATTTTCTGATTGTTGGAAGATATTTTAAATATGTATTGTAAGATTGTTCACCAAAAAATATTGAGATCATGCTAGATCAAGATCCTAAATACACTAGCTGAAGCTATAGAATTGTATATATATAACAATGATCCTATTTATTAAATCCTACCGACTTCCTTAGATTTTAACTGCATACCTCATTTTCTATAAAGTAATAATTGACTGGTTCAGGCAAGTTTTGTATTTTTTTTACGTTCACAGTAGGGTTTTCTCCTTCGGTTAAAAATCCTATAAAAAAAAAAATTATCCAACGTACACCTCCAGTTTCTTACACAAACAAGCGCAAACAAATTCCGATAGATCCTAACACTCCACAGACCTATGGATCATGATTGAGGTGGATGTGCCCCTGATTATCACCCCCCCCCAGTATTTTAAAGTTATTAATTTTGCACACATTTTTATATGAAAATAAACCTATAGACATTCCTATATTTTTTTGTATTAGTTCTTGCACTTCTAAAAACACTTGCAGTTAATCAATGTATTCGGTCATCAAGAAGTTAATGTTTCGTTTTGGAACACATTAACCAAATCCGAAAAAAAAAAAAACATTACGTACAACAGTTAAACGAATCGCCTAAACGTCACGGTGTAGCCCACATAAAGTTTAGTATGTTCTAATCTCTTGTAGTGATGGTACACGACGAGACACATTAGGAATGTAATGCCCTTTGAATACAAGGGAACCAACGCCTCTGCTGCCACAAAAGAGTTTATGGAAATGTTTTGAACGTTCGTAAGCGTCAACGACGATTCAGCAAATTTCGTTCAGGTGACTTCAGCTGTAAAAACTGATAGCATTACGAACTTTCTAATGATCACGTCTTCCAACGTGTGAACGGTGCTTCTCTTCTGGCGCGTTAACCATTTTTGGAAAGAATGGTCACAGGTGATGAAATATGGATTCTCTATGCGAATATTAAACCCCCAAAACAATGGCTCAGTCCTAGACAAAACCTAGAGTCCATCCACACGTTTGACGCAACAAGATTATGGAGTTGAGTTGTTCTCTCACCCACCACATTCTCCAGATGTGGGACGATCAGACACCACTTAATGATAAAAATTATGCAAATGTGGAAGGTGTTAAAGAACGTGTTTTTTGCTTTTAAGCCAAATGATTTCTTTAATCAGGGCATAATAATAACCGATTATAAGATGGAAAAGCATCATCGTTAAGAATGGAGCCTATTTCATTTAATAAATGTTTTGATATACAAGTTAGTTTTTTTCGCTCTAAAAAAGCGATATTAAATTTTTGACGACCTGATGTAAGTTTAGCATTGATAAAAATGTTCGATTTCTAAAATTTACTTTTCTACCCGTTAAAAAGGCAAGTTATTACCACCCCTTTTATTGTTACTATTGTATATTAATAAACCAATATTAATTTTCATCAAATTTTGTCGTTAAAATCAGCCCCATGTGTTAGAAAATTACACGTTGAACTACACACCAGTTTATTTTTATGTGTGTACTTAAAGTCACTGTTCATTACCACATAAGAAAGCAAATATTTGAGTTATTACTTAGAAAACTTCATTATCAAACAGTATACAGGGAGTGTTAAGGCAATAAAATACATCTTTTCTAGTTTCATCATTCTTTATTTCAACATTAGAAGTTCACAGGTTTCCAAAAAAAATTAAGCTGTGCCTTCCTCCTTCAGCTTTTGTTTCTTCAGAGGACCCTGCAAAGACAAAAAACATATTTTAGCCTAATTTTTCTCTTTACTTAATATATTGAAGACATTGAAGTTTGGATAATCAGAAGGAAGGCAGCAGTATCTTCAAAGATCATCAGTTTGGCGTTATGCTCATCATCATATATCCAATATTACTACTAACAACTCTTAAAGAACTTATTTCACCCTCAATTTCACTTGACTAACAAACATTTGATTAAACCCAATAAATCAACTGTTCAACTACTCGAACTTCCCCATTTTCACAGATTGAAAATTAAGATTTAATATCCAGTTATATTATCCAATATTCTTAAACATCAAATTACCCCCTCTCTATCTATATCAATAAATGTTCAAAGTTTAAGTTAAATATTACTCATACCTAACATTAAAAATTTGCAGTCACTAAAACTTACCATAAAAGCAAGCTTTTCTGCTGGTGTCTGGAATCGACCATGTCCAAACTTTGATGATGTATCAATAAATTTCAGTGTAATCTTTTCCAGTGCAGACCTCTTAGTCTGTGTCAACAAAGACTGAAAATTCAAAAAAAAAAAAACTACAGATGTTAATAAACTCCATTACAAGGGTTACTCTACACTGATATTAAGTTAGTCTCAGGCCTATCATTGAACAGCACATAATTATTCACTCATTAGCTCAGTTTAGTCATCACAGACAATCCAAAAGTACCTACTCAAAGTGATTGCATCCTATTCAACATTACTCTTATTTAGTCAATCAGTGCAAGTTAGCGAAGATAATGAAATGCTTAGAGGAGTAATTAGTTTCAAACTACAAATCTTCACAAAAAAAAAAACTACATAAAAGAGCATTTCACTTGTGAAATTGCAAAATATTTCAAAGATGCTAACAGGTCAAAGTTCAATGGCTTACCTTCCTCAAGGTGATGACACGTTTCTTAGGCCCCACAACACAGCCCTTCAGCATAATAAAGTCACAGTTGACCTCCCCATAATGGGGGAATCCTCCCTGTGGACACAAGACCAGATGATGTTAGAAAATGGTCAATCACCAACAACATATAAAGTTTGAAAAATGTTTGTCTTCAGTTCGCCCTAGTTTATCTATCACTAGATATCAAAAACTCTAAATCATCATTAGCACAAAAGCAATACTGTAACATGTAATTTCAAAGGTATAAACCACAAGTGTTACTAACCATGGGAGTGATAGACTTCTCCGTTAAGTCGTAATCTGTTGCAGCATTGTTCTTTATCACCTTGTTGTCCTTCTTATGGATACCTGCCCCGATACGATATATTTTTTTGTTGATCTCGGTTCTGTGGTGGTAGCCTTTCTGGCCAGCACGAGCTACAGTAAACTGCACACGACTGGGATGCCATGCACCAATACAAGCTACTTTACGAAGACCTTTATGAGTCTTTCGGGGCAGCTTCTTGGTGTGCCATCGGCTGGTTACACCTAAATGCAAACATAACATCTTTTAATGGCAAGTAAACAAGCTATTTTTAATCTTAAAAACATCAAGATTAACATTTATCAGCACTTTAGGATAGAGATCATTTTTAGTTACATCAGACCAATGTAAAGCCTAAAACAAGAATATCCGAACTAACATACTGCATGCTAATGTGGTTTTCATATAGAACTATTTAGAACAAATCATATTACTTAGGTCATTCTCCATCTGATCAATAAAACAAACAGAAATAAAAGAATAATTTATGTAATAGTGACATATCAGTAGCAAATATGCAGGGGGAGGGAGGAAATTACTAGTGCCTTAAAAAACAAGTTATGGTCAAAGCCCATAACTAGTTTAACATCAAACTGACCTTTAAATCCTTTGCCCTTGGTCACACCAATAACATCAATCATCTCATCTTGAGAAAACACTTGGTTAATGGGTACCTGCTTTTCTAGATGCTCTCTAGCCCACCTAATCTTCTGGGGGATGGTACCCCCATTTAACTGAATTTCCATCAAATGAGCCTTCTTCTGACGCTTTCTCAGAAGCTTCATCTACATTATCCAAAAATAAAACCAAAACTGAGCACAGGAACAACTTCACAGAAAAATAATTCAGGAGTACAATAGTTAGTCTTCAGCAAATTGTCAAACAAATTACCAGTACTAGCTAAGAGCAATCATACAATATGTATAAAAATACATGTACAATAACACATGAAAACATGCAACATAAAATACAAAAACAGTTAATCACTAGTTAGAGAATAAGCTGGTCATGCATCATTACGTGACAGAAATGTTTTAATTACCTAGAATATTTGGTCAATGCTATTGCAGTACTGGAAAGGGATAGTTATATTACACTTATAAACTTCACTGTTCAATGTTCTTTATACAAGATATCTGCATGGTTTAAACCATGTCAACTGAAAAAAAAAAATCTCAGTTTCTGGAACCAATGTACCAATCTTGACACCATAAAAATTGTGAGAAAAAAAGTTAAATCTGTATGTCACTACTTTGGACCTGCAAAAAAAAGGTATATTGGTACCACATCCCACAAATTGGCCAGAATAGGGGGGCATAATTGTATTAAAAACTATAAAATTACACTTGTGGCATTTTCACCATATAATTGCTAAAAATAGCAAGTCCACCATTTTTTGTCAATAATGAAACTGTAGAATAGTATCTTTCCACTAAAACCCATGTAAATTGTTGGTCAAAATATGGCCAAGTAACTGACCCAAATGGGCAAATCCAATTTATGTCTACATGTTCAGTGCATGAAAATTTCTGCTAATTTTCACCCCAAGGGCTGTAAATATGACCACGCAAGAGCCCAAAATAAACATTTCTGGACTATTTGACCCCATAAAATGCTTAAAAGGGCACAAGAAAAAAAAAAAAAAATTAAAATGTCCAGGCACATTGGACCAAGGTATAGCCCTTTCAAATCAATCAGCCACAAGATGAAGGAATAGTATTTAATTGAAAGTGTTTGCAAAAAAGCAAGAATGGAAAACTCCGCATCAACAAATATCTAGCAATAACGAGTTGACAAGTAATTTTGCATAAAGCTAAAAACTATTGGTTTAAATAGTTACAAAACATCTGGTAATTAGACAAATGGAATGTGGTGTTTCAAAAGCAGCACACCCCTTTAACTTCAAATAAAATAAAACAAACCTGAGTATGAGCAATCACACGGATTACTTTGCAGTATTTTTTCATCTTCTTCAAATCGTTCTCTATTTCTTTCTTCCCCATCTCGTCCTGCCATTTGCGAGAGTACTTCGTAAAGGCCTTTTTCTTGGATTTGTACCTTTAAATTGAAATCAAGTTGTTAGAGAACCAGCATGTCTCTTCACGACCAGGAGTCCTCTGGACGGGACTCTTGAGAACATGAGTGGAGACAATAGCAGGTCCAATAAAAGGCTCATTTAGAAGAGAATCTTCACTTCTTAGCGGAGCCTGTGTACCATCAATTAGAAATTGTTCAAATTCACATTTTCTACAAAATTAGAAAATAGTTCATAAGCCGAAATAACCAAACATATATTTAATAACCTAAAGTAATATAAACATCTTACACAAGATAAAATTTAAAAATCAATGTTCTTTTACACTTCATAATTCTAGCACCAAGTTACACAATTTTTAATAAAAATCAACTTTACCAATTTTTGTAGAACCGACGTTTGCAGTCCTCACTCAGGTGCTCAGCCCAAACTGTCTTAAAGGTACGGAGGCCTTTCGGAGTTTCAATGTAACCAACTACGCCAACCACTACCATTGGTGGAGTTTCAATAATTGTCACAGCCTCGACAACTTCCTTCTTGTTCACCTCTTTAAAAAAGAATAAACCAGTTAAATTTGAAAAGATGCTGATAACTAAAACTGAATTGTACAACACCAAAAACTTAACACTACTTACAGCATTACATATTTCTGTCATTTGTAGCATCACCTCTTAACAAAGAACTGACAAATTACATTTAGTATGATAAAGAAAACTGATAGTTTCCTCAAAACTCAATACAAACAAAGACATTTAGTTATTCAAATTTTAGCACTGTACCATTTAATGAAATTCTTATCTTACACATGGTCAACTAGTTTATATCAAACTTACTTGACCCGGGTCTGTCAACCTCTCTAACAATATGGGTCATTCCAGCTTTGTACCCAATAAACCCTGTTAAATGAACCGGTTTGCTTGGGTCATCTTTTGGAAAAGCTTTCACCTTTCCTCTATGCCTCCTGCTCCTTTTTTTGGGAGTAAAACCCACCGATCCATGGCGGGGTGCAGAAAATTTACGATGGGACTAAATAAAAAAAAAAAACGTGTTACTAATGCACATCTTAATTGTTTTATTATTCACTAACCACTAGTAGCAAGACATCTGTCAAATATTTTATATAAAATGTTTGAATATAACCGTTTTATTCAAAAACAAAAGTCCAACATGAGTAACTACATAGGACCATATAAACCCAATGACTGATCTAATCAAGATTTTATAAACGTGTATTTATCTACATACTTGTACAACCTAAATAAGTTAGCTAGAACTGTGGCAAATTTGATCAATTTCACTTAGAAATTTGATTTAATAGTTATACTTCAAAGGCACTATTGTTTAAAAGTTTGCCCCTGAAGAAGAAAGGTCCACCCATTGAAAACACTGATATAGTGAAGATTTCTTTCATCTTTTAAGACTTTTTGAACCTACGTGTTTTCCCAACATCATGAATTGTTTAAGTTATAACCTGAATCACAATTACCCTTTCAACTTCAAAATCTACCCCCAAAGAATAAATGAAGAAATTCATTTAGTTATCAAAGTTTACTGCCTAGTGAATTTTTTAGCCTCCATCGGGGATTTTACTAGTATTTCAGACCTTCGATTGGAATTTTAAATTGTAATAAAACTTTGAAAATCAAGCCAACCATAAGCCTACGACTAGGATTCCATAGGTCAGTTTTAAATTTAAAAACTTTTACTGATGTTTACAGCGGCAAACAAGATTTAAGTATCCCTATACTCCAATACATTTAACTTGAGAATTTTTATAATTTATATAACAGTTACACCTAACAAGTTACAACTCACAGATGCACTTGAGTTGAAGTTAGAATACATGTTTCATTCTCAATACATCAAAAATAGTATATAAATTATATAAAAAAACAGCATATATCACATAAAAAACGAATTATTTATGATATAACACCCAGTTAATAATAAATACGGCGTTCACCATACACGTGTGGCTTAACTACACAAAATCCCTAGGCTTAGTTATCCAAATTAAATATCATGCAGAATAAACCACATTTACAGCAAACTAAACGAAAATACAAATTTCATCCAAATTAAATTAACTTTTAACGTACCTTCTCACTGTCCAAAGACTTTAATTATTCTAAAAACAACGGATGTTGGAAGATTAAAATTAGTTACTACATACTCACCATCTCGAATCTATACCACAAAGAGAACACTACATGTAGGACGTGGCTATATAATACTGCTAACGCATCGCCACCTGGTTACACAGTTGGTTTGGGTGAATATACTTTTTTTTTCTAACAAAGTGAAAATTGAAACTGGTTTGGACTTGAATCTACAATTATGCTTATTGTACACATGCTTTGGCCAAACTAAGCTAAAAAATATAGAGATTTGATATTCCAAAATATCATTACGTTACAAAATGCCATAAAAATAAAATTTTGTGTGAATCTTGCCGTTCGTATAATTATCCAATAATAGCATTCCAACTTTTCAATAATTTTTCCCATAGTTATGAATAATGCCCAATAAAAATGTGTTAACTAAACAGAACAAAAATAAGCAAAAAATTACAATTTAATTGAAACAACTGTGTCATAAATAATACACAAGAAAACTAAAACCTCTAACGAATAAAATGTATTAAAACCATTAGTTGGGTTTGGTAGACTTATTATTAATGGTAATTGTAGCCGTAATTTCAATAATATCTCAAGATACTGAACCATTTAATTGGAGGTTTAGGCTAGTCCTAAACTTATATATTCAGTTAATAATATTGCAATGCCCCTTCACTGGCTCAACGATAATTCTGAAGCCTTCTACCACTACAAATCGGGTATTGATACCCGTCGTAGGTACAATATAGATACCCCAAAGTATAGCTTTTTGCTACAACAAACAAACGATATTGCAAAATAATCTCCATAGGTCTAAAATCTATTAATAATAATCATGATGTATTTTTAGTGTCATAAGCCTTCAGACTTTCCATTGAGCCGCTGTGGGGCATCATGATATAAAAATGATTTTGAACACTAGTATTATTGATAAAACTAACTTTAAAGAGAAATGGAGTATGCTATTACATAAAAAAACACACACACACAAAACCGTAACTTGCTCATAATATGCTGTTGTAAGCTATATTTTCAATGTTTTGATTTAAATGTTTGTTTATTAGACGGAGGTTGTCATTACATAATGATGATGACGTTGGGATCTAGCAATTTTATATAACAATGAGAAATCGATTTCGATATGAAAACGAGAATCAGTGAAACAGTGTTACATCTGTGGTTGAAATTCTGCAAATAAGCTCATAAGTAAATTAAGTGTGTGTTAGTTTCGAAAATTCTGTTAAACATTATTTGAACCTTTATATTGGAAGTTAGACCTACAAGTAAACCTAGCCTGTGACAAACAGTATTCACTTATTGAAAAAAATAATTAATTTGCTATCGTTGCATGGAGTGGATTTGGCATTATTTTTACCAAATAATCCAAAGGAGCCTGCCCATCGATACAACATGTTACAACAATATATATATATATATTACACACACACACACACACACACACTGCTTACCAATTCAAGGAATCTAAATATATTTGTGAGTGTTTGTATTTGAAGTCATGCATGTCCAATGGCAAAACTAATTGAAAATATTAAAAAACAGAGTCATAGCAAAGACTTGAAAGCTCTGGGGTGAGGCTTCCAGTAGCGCCCCTCCCCTTCCACCACAGTCACTTATTCGCAATAATTTCGTTTCTTTTATTCTTTGGTCATTTTTTTTTCGCCTAATCAAAATATTTGAATTATCTGTAAAGAATAAATAATGAGAAAATTAACAAATTATTGCAATCCAGTAATATATATATAGTTAGCATTAAATGAAAATTATCTTGTGTGTTTTTTCAAAGGCAGAGAGACACAAGTGTTTCTTGGTTAGGGGTAAGCATTGTATGCTTTTTTTGTTTGTTTGTTTAGTGAATAACATCATTGGGGCCATTCCTAAATTAGGACGTCAAATCTTCTGTTTTAAATTCGTAATGTAAATAATTTAATGATAAAATCAAGAGTATCTCAATCGAATTTTTATCTTCACTTTCAACATTTATTGAGGAAGTTTTCAACTCCTACCTTCAAAATAGACTTGTCTCTCTAAATATAAAATCATAAAAGGAAAAAATTATAATAATGTTTTGCAATTGTTGATATTTTGTAAATTTATATCTCGCTATAATTTTGATAATTTGTGATGATTCAGACACTGAATTTTATTGTGTAGATTATTTAAAATATAAACACACAGACACTGAATGTTATTGTGTAGATAATTTAAAATATAAACACACAGACACTGAATCTTATTGTGTAGATTATTTAAAATATAAACACACAGACACTGAATCTTATTGTGTAGATTATTTAAACTATAAACACACAGGCACTGAATCTTATTGTGTAGATTATTTAAACTATAAACACACAGACACTGAATCTTATTGTGTAGATTATTTAAAGTATAAATAGCTGGAACAATTTTATAACAGAACTTATTTAACAAACACACCATCTTAAAAAATTTAAACTTAGCAAACCGCCGCTTTAGCTTCCAATGGAAGTATTTTTCTCAAGAGTCTGACTTGTCGAGGTCTGTATCAGTATTTAATATCTGTGTTGTACTCTATTGTTTTATTTTAATAGTTAATAAAGGCCTTTATACCAGGGCTAGGGTTATTGACTTAATCTAGCCACTCTTATTAAAAGCCTCTACGTACCAGATTTCTTTCAATATCCACTATTCTATTATTCTTTCTAGTCAATGGAATGATGTGTTAATGATACGTCATCAGCTAGATCGGATTCTATTATATTTGTATTTTTTTTACTGCATGTTTATGCTCCACCAATATGGTAACATATTGCTATAGTAAGTCACATTTGGTAAATGCAGACGCAGGCCGTCATATACTTAAAACTTTATATAGGCCTTTATTAAGTTTTAAAAATCAACCAATAGATAGCGCGACACATGTTAAGTACTGGCATGGAACTGAATAGACTCTTGAAAAAGATTTCCGTTGGAATTCGAAACGTTGGACTGTTAGGTTTTTCTATTTCTAAACTGGTGTGTTTGAAAATAATTGCAGTTTAGCAATATTCGTATTAGAGAAGGAGTATTGGCGTATAATAATTCTCAATAATACCTATGTTTACTTGATGTTTATTAGCTCATACAGTTTCGGAAAAAAGCACATCAAATTTTGTGTGAAAGCTCCTGTCCCCGACAAAACGATAAAAGAAGAAAAACAAATCAAGGATGTCCTGAGAGAACCTCAACGGTGAAGGATAAGCGGATTTTAATTAATGTTTTTTATTTTCACGTAGGAATATCTGACAGTTTATAAAACGACTCGGAGATTATAGGCCGGTTTCTCTTCGTATTTTGACTGTAAATTTACAACGATATTTAAAGAACGTTTTTGTTTATCGTTAGAGGGACTAAAACCTCGTACCCATTCACCATCTTAACGTAGAGAAATTGCAGAGATAATAAACTCTACTAATGACATAATTTCTCCACACCTATAGTTACTGTAGTATATTGAGTTACCAGTTGAGTACTCTCGTTATTATTTATTATTCATGTTTAAATATTTCAGCAGTTATAAGGTAGCCATTGTGGAATGTATCATGATTATGATTCGTTATTGATTATTTTTCGCTGACTTTGGTTTTTACAGCTGAAAACAATAATAGTATGTTGTATCTCTTTGCTTGATAAAAGCCCAGGTTATTTTAAGTCCGATTACTATCAGCTAAACAAGTTTTTGTATGGTACTGGGAGTCAGAAAACTTCATTTAGTACTCGGATTTAGAACAATATTCATGGCTGAGTAGGTTTCATTTAGAACAAAAATCATAGCTGAGTAGGTTTCATTTAGAACAAAAATCATAGCTGAGTGGGTTTCATTTAATACTCGGATTCCGAACAATACCCATAGCTGAGCGGAATTAATTTATCACTCGGATTTAGAATAATACCCATAACTGAGCGGATTTCATTTAGTATTCAGATTTCGACCAATATCCATAACTGAGCAGAGTTCATTTGGTACTCGGATTTAGAAAACTTCCAGTAAGTACACGAGTTTTATTCATTATTCACTGTCAACTTTTAAGCATAAATTTATTAAATTTTATGAAATTCTCTTAATTAAAGAACGTTTAGCGTCACGTGATATCAGCTTAAGCAATTAGCTTAAATAACGATGCTAGATACAACTGTACCGAGTCCATGCGGATGATGACAAGAATCTGTTAATCTAAATTCCATGGCGTTACTACAAAGGAAGTTATTAACATTGTTTTAGAGAGGAAAACTACCACTATATATATATTTATAAAAATCTGATTAGTTCTGTATAGTATTGGTACTAGGTTTAGACAACTTCCAGCTGATCGAGGAAATTTTGTTTTGTATATTGTTACGACAGCAGAAGTCACGTGACGCTGGTAACACGTGATGAGATTCTCGAAGGATCGAGAATTGTCCTGGCAACTCTAATCTGCTCCAGGCGCCCTCTTTTTAATATATAAGCCCGTCAAATTAAGTGAGATGAGAATTGTAGATAGATAGATATAGAGACAGATAATTGAATCAAGCGAGCGGTAGGGACGGTAATATAAAGTGTGTGTTTTGTTATCGAGATTGCAAACGTATTAACTGTGGAAATTTTGTGTATTATAAAGTTGTATCGAGAAAGAATAAACTAGTTTTAATTAAGAAAGGACTTGTATCGCTGAAGTTTCTCGGAAAGAATTTCTACGGGAAATTAACAAACAAGCAGATACGTAACAGTATGTTTTTAGATAACTCGCCGCAAACTCATCAAAGCTACGTTTTTCTCGACTATTAAACAAACTTTCTTATGAGATGTAAGAGATCTGTACTTCTGAATCTTACATGAATACAGTGTCTTTCACGGAGTTAATTATATCAGGTTTAAACTTGTTATTAGAGAAGAAGCTTCGCAGACAACACGGAACGAAAAATGTGGTTTCGAAAATCGCGAGAGTAATCGACAATAAGTCAATTTTATAAAATCAAGAAGCAAACTTTATTCTATAGTCTTGTGTAAATACCTAAAGTTAATAATTACATTATTTCAATAATTCTCTCCACTATCAATAAAGACAAAGCACTTCAAAATCGTTAGAGTTTTCTTTATTGTAACTTTATACTTAGCTGTCTGAACACGAATTGTGTCAGAAGTAAAACTTTCATTGATACAGCATAGCTTTTTGTTTACATAATTAGTTCTGAGGTAGTTGAAAAGGATACCCTTGTACTGCGGTTCCCCAATGCGGTAAATTTGCGAAGTTACAACGCAGAAAACCGGGGTTCGATTCCCCGCGGAGGACACAGCGGATAGTCCAATGTGGCTTTGCTCTGAAACAACCAACCAAACCTTGTACTGGGAACACCGATGTTATGGACATTCGAATTTCTTACAAGTTTATATATGGGCTTACTATTGGTTTTATAGACGCTCTGACAAAATAGGACAAATTGAAACTTGTGTAAAAATAACTCGCGTTGAACTTCTCAGTCAGACTAAAGTGTGGGGAAATAAAACCAGATATGTTACAAGTCAGTATTCAGAGTTACACGTATTACGCAACCCAGACTATACAGGCAGTTAGGTTCAAACGAGAGAGAAACTGTTGTTAAATCAACTAACGACTTCGGTTGAATTAAGTCAGGGTTGAGAAAAGGTTATATAAGTATATAACAGTTTAAAAGCTAAAGGATTAAAATATCTGTCATTCGGGGGCTCAGTGGTAAGCTTGAGCACATATGGCGTAAAAATTCGGGGCTCGAACCCAACACTGGGTACACTAATTTTGCTGCTTTGTGTTAAAACAAACAACTTAAGATGTTCATCTACAAATAGATACCTATGATGAACATTTTTGATTAATGATAAGAACAAAAATAATCAAAAACATAAGACAGTTTACTAGTTTCCAAATGTTGTGACCAGACAAATATATAAAGCATCTATATTAAACAGTCCTAAAATATTACAAGAAATAAGCATTACTTTTGATAACACCATCGTATTCCAACGTAAGTTGTTTGTGCGAAAATAAGAAAACAGAATGAAACACTCAAACTTTCAAATCATAAATCAGAAAGCACAGATAAGAAAATTTTGTAGGTCGAACGTTTCTAACGTGGAACTTTTGGAAATCAAATTAATGCTATGTCTGGCCCGGCATGGCCAGGTGGTTAGGGAGCTCGACTCGCAATCTGCTGGTCGCGGGTTCGAATCCCAGTCCCACCAAACATGCTCGCCCTTTCAGCCGTGGGGGAGTTATAATGGGACGTTCAATCCCACTATTCGTTGGTAAAAGAGTAGCCCAAGAGTTGGCGGTGGGTGGTGATGACTAGCTGCCTTCCCTCTAGTCTTACACTGCTAAATTAGGGACGGCTAGCGCAGATAGCCCTCGTGTAGCTTTGCGCGAAATTCAAAAACAAACAAACAAACAAATGCTATGTGTATGTTAAACATATACACACCAGTTAGTTATTATCAAAGGTTGTGCTACTCATACTTCCCTGCTTATGATGTTAAACTTTAATTGTTCATGTCATCAAATAGTCTAGTTCCTTTAAACTAACACCTTTAACTAATATTTGATCTTTATGTGTTAAATAAACATTGAATAATAATATAGATATCGTCAGTTAACCGAATTTGCATTTGTAATTTTATGGGTGATTTACCATAATCTAATCAAGCCCTAAAACGTGTATTGACATAAACTTTACTATTGGTGGAACCTTCCAGAACGAAAATATAGGCCCGGCATGGCCAGGTGGTTAGGGCGCTCGACTCGCAGTCTGTGGGTCATGGTTTCGAATCCCCGTCACACCAAACATGCTCGCCCTTTCAGCCGTGGGGGCGTTATTATGTGACGGTCAATCCCACTATTCGTTGGTAAAAGAGTACCCCAAGAGTTGGCCATGGGTGGTGATGACTAGCTGCCTTCCCTCTAGTCTTACACTTCTAAATTAGGGACGGCTAGCGCAGATAGCCCTCGTGTAGCTTTGCGCGAAATTAAAAAAAAAGAAAATATAAGAAACGGAAACATTCAACCATCGCGATTTGTTTTACATAAACGTTTTTTGGGTTATTATGTAGTAGCCTTCTTTTTCTATGCCCCAACCCCGATCCAGTGGCACGACGGTAAGTCTGCTGACCTATAACGCTAAAAACTGGGTTTCGACACTCGTAGTGGGCTTACCACAGATAGCCCACTGTGTAGCTTTGTGCTTAACTTCAAAAACCAACCAACTGAAAATCTTTTTCTGTGTACAAGAATAGGAGCAATACTTATAATACCAATATTGGCTTCTCGAGGTGTTTAATGATATTTATGGTAATCAAACTTATACATTCATTCAAGACCTCTAATATCGAACTACGTGGCTCTTTAGAGTTTTTTTTTTAATGGTTGCATTGCATTATTATGTTTTCTATTTTACTGAACACTACAAGTTAAAAAAGGACTACATAGTTTACACGTCACTAGAACAATAAAACTACTGTCTGTTTTACAAAACAACAACTAAAAAAATATACAAAACAAAAATTTCTTAGACAGTTATATACATTAAGTGTAATTTTTTTATAATGCTACTTTAATTGTTATTACAGTTAGTGAACGTATCTTTACTTGTTAGAGTTTTTCGATGCCAAACGTACATAACCAGACAAGAGACAGTTAACAAAATTATGGAGACAGCTGACACTCCCAAAATGCTTTGGATAATATAGTTCTTTTGGCGGCAGAGAGATGGCGCTTCGTCTAACGGATTCCCGTAGAAATTTGTTTCGGGACAATTTATCACACCATTACATAGCAATGACTTAGAGATGCAGCTCATGTTGTCTGGACATAGATGATCACAGTGGTGTTCTGGATCCTTATGGTGCCAGAGTTCAGTCCAGAGAAGCTGAAACTGCACATATTTAAAGCTAGATACAAGCTCAAGAATGACTACATTTTCATTCCTTCCAGAACTTGGAATTTTCTTTTTTTGCCACGTGGGTGGGAAAAGCTCGATATTTGTATGGTTTCCACATAATTCATGAAGTATATTTAACTCAACTGCTGTGAACAACTTCAAGCTGGTGAGGTTACAGTTACTTGACAAAGCCACGTGTGGAAGTTTTATCATAACGGAACTTCCTGGAGAAGTTTCAATTTTCCAGCGACAGTGGAAACCTTTTTGGGTTTCGCTGGACTCTAAAGGAAAGTTCAATTCTCCCTGAATTCCTTTCTGAGAGAACTCACCGCATCCTACTTGCAAGAACTGGTAATGGCCTGTAAAGACAAAAGACTTATCCATCCTATGTGCCAGATAATGTAACTGATATAACTTGAGCTCCATGGAGAGTTTGGAACCTCCAGAGACCATCTGAAAATCACGAGACAAATCGGCACAAAAACATCCAAGCTGAGATCCATCAGAATCAAATACTGACAAATGATCTGTGAGTTCGAAGTCGCTCTGGGTGCATATAGGCTCTTTAATTCCAATGCACTGCCTCAGTGGATTGAACCTCACCTCTTGTAACGTCAACCTCACCCTCTCAGAGGGTTTTCCTATGAATTGAATTCTACACTGAACTTCGGAGTTTCGTAACACAAGCCTGTTTGGTAAGACGTGGAAGTGTCCAGAAGAAACCAGTTCACTATTAAACAGCTGATCGCACAGGGTATTCGGAACACGTGATTCAGCAGGTGTTGTGTTCACAAACATAAAATACACAGAATATTCAAACTGTGACCCATCAAATGACCCTTCCATGCTTTCAAATTCAATGAACAAGTTTTCTGACGAGGACAGTAGGGTTTCGTTAGGTCGATTTTTACCACAATATTCCCCCATTAGAGCTGACTGATTCTGCCACGAGGAGTTAAAGATCCTTAAGACATTCCGACATTGACTTCCTCGTAGGACGTTGAAGCTAATAAAATGTACCCAGAGCTTCTCTCCAGGACGGCCGCTGAGTTTGTAAGTGCAGCGAGTTCGAGGAGGATACCAATGACGTAAGCTATAAAGGTAACCCTGGGAAACCTGAGTGCTGATAAATTTCCATTGGCAGGATGGATTCACAATTTCTTGACCCGGTCTTCCTGGTAGGCGGCGCTCCTTCCCTACTGATAGATAAAACCCGTCACTTATCATGCTTCCTGCAGGCGAGGATACAAAGTCAACGATGATTCTTGGATTGCGAGATACAATCCGAGGTAGGATGCCCCTGCCACAGAAAGTACCAATCATAGGACTGTCCTGTTCTTCTCCGTCGAAGACTCGGATGAAGTCGTACGGACAGTAGTTTAGTATACGGTTCCCACGGAAACCCTTGGTTCCCCAAACATCAAACTTATCGTAATAGTGCCCCCCTATTGTCACTCTGGCATCGGTCGTGTTGAAAACAATCTCATATCGGCAAGTAACGTTTCGGGGATAAAAACCAGGGTATCCAGGACTCGTGACGTCGCAGAGACCGTCACAATTGAAAAATAACCTGTCGCAATATGTACCGAGTAGCAGTTTACCGGGGTTTTTAACAGCCAATTCTTTGTGTCTTTCTTTGGCGAACTGGGCTGGCAACATAGAACTGTGAGCTTTAAAAAAAGTGTGACGGGTGTAACGCTCCGTGTGGAACATCAACGTCACCACCTCCGAATGAGCCAAGTAAATCCGGCTCTTTCTAATACGTCCACAGATGTAACCAGCATGTCCTTCTCGCAGGCGGTCATCTTCAATCTGTAGGTAGCCTTTCCTGCAGAAAGAATTGTTCACCTGGCGGCCAATGTGTAGTGAGCGGAACGTGATCTCAAACACTCCGGGGTTATTCGGATCAGCATAGCTTACAAACTTATAGAAGCATGTCATTGGTTGGTTTCTGTTTAGTCGGGTCAGTCGGGGACTTTGGATCGCTCGAGTTGTTCTGATCGTCTTGTTACATCCTTAACCAGAAAAGAAAATTTATTACATGAACATTTCATTTCAATGTGGATTTTTTTTAATTACGGAAAATTATCAATTTTAAAATTTAGAGATATATATATATATATATAATGTAGTTAATGGAAAATTTAGTCTTAAAACATTAACATATAAAGTGAACATTATAACAAAAAATAGTTGAGATTATTTAATTATTTAAACAAACATATTTTCGTGTTACATTTATTTAAACAACCCGCATAGAATATTCTCACATGATTATGTTTTTGAAACCGGAAGAATAAAGATCATATTGTTTTCGGCAAAATCCCCAAAAGTGTTACTCTAAATCCCTGTATTTGTATTTTGTATTTATGGCAACGCTACTAAGGCTCTCTGCTCCCGTCCCTACTTTTGATTTATGCTGACCAGAGGTAATGTGGCCAGTGAGCAGGACCCTATCGTCCACATCCGCGCTAAGAGGTTGACTGTCATTCTTATTCACACCCACACCTTAAAGTGCGGAGTATATTTTGTGTTATGGGATTGATTCGAACCCAGCTCAACAGCTTTACAATCAAGAGCTCTACTACAGGGCTGACCAGCGCCCAGCTTTCTTGCTTGAACAGGTCACTTATTAAGAAAGTGTAGAACGCAATAGTGAATAAATATGATAATTTATTCATCCCAAACCAATAAATACTTATTTAATCAAGCCCCTCAATCCAGTTGAAATTTGTTCTCAAGCCAATCACAATACACCACATAGTTATGGATCGTTAAGTAACTACACCGGCCCGGCATGGCCAGGTGGTTAGGGCGCTCGACTCGTAATCTGAGGGTCGCGATTCGAATCCCCGTCACACCAAACATACCATCCTCCACAAGTCCAGGATGAGAAAGGAGGAGGGTTGGGTGCGGGGCTAGCAACTCCACCCCGTAAAAACCAACCTGCTACAAGTAACTACAACAACAACTTTCCGTTGGTGAGGTGTTGTTACGGCCCTATGCTACACTGGGAATTTACAGGAGTAATAAAAAAAAAATCAACTACACCAAGCAAGTGAAAAAAATTACTTTGAAGTATATCAAATTCTACAGTATCATCTTAAAAACTGTACAAAACGTTTGAACCTATGTTTTTTTGGCAGAAAATGTTTCCACCATTATTAAGAGAATAGCATAGATATTTTGACAAGAAGGTCCTTATATGTATGTAGTTCACATCCAATTCAAATCAGGTATACAAAATAGATTCCCACAACTGAATCTTCTTATTCCACAGAACAAACTATTCTCTAACAATTTTATTTTATTACTATGTGAATAATTTTAAAAATGCCCCACAGATGACACTACTTTAAAAAGTCCTTCTTCATTAATCACTAGTTTCAGTCTGTGAAATATAGGAGATTTGTTTATATCAAGTATGTAGTGGAAGAAAGAAAAAAGAGGCTTATCTGTTTGTTAAACATCTCACCACCAAATGAAATTTCATGATAGTTATCAAATGACTGTGCTCGTTTTGAAAAACAGCAGAATGAGAAGGACAATATAATTGCAAATAGATTATTTGATAAACAACCTAC